TTTTTTTTTTTTTGAATGGTGGAAGAATTCAGAATTAGTCCAAGCGATAACACGCGGTCGAGAGCAAGCACCCCGCGGCGGGAAAAGCTGATGGCCGTTTTGTCTCTTAATTTTGTTCCTTCCAGCCAGTTTGTAAGTTCATTCTTTTCTTTTTATGAATAAAACAACTGCTCAAAATGAGGATTAAGAAGTAAACCAACCCTTTCCTGCCCCTTTTTTACGCGCAACCAAAAGGAAACACCAAACCCGTCATTCAAATGCAACGACATTTGATCAAGATGAAACTGCACTGCGCACTGTCTGTGGAAATAACGATATTCATTCGGACCACGGGGTCCTTTGTTAGCCGCATGATGTCCAGGGGCAATCTGAAAATGCCTGTACGATTGATTCTAAAAAGGAGGTAACCAAAATAATGATGCTTATTAAAATTGCATGAAAATTCAGCCGTAGTCTCGAATTGTTAAATGGCAACATTCCGTCGCGTAAACTACAAGGTAAGGAAAAAATCACAAAAAAGATTTCACAAAAAAATTCCGTTGTTTTCACAGTTTTTAAAAATTTCACAAATTTTCCAAAATTAACGGAAATTTCAAAAATTTCACAAAAATTTTCTTCCTTTTTCGCAAAAAATTTCTAAAATTTCACAAAAGTTTCACAAAAAAATTTTTTTCTCGCAAAAAGCCGAAAAAGTTTGGGCACTCATTTTTATGAAAAATGGAAGTAATCCGAAAAATCTCAAGCAGCAGCAAAAGCTAAAAGCAACAGCCTGCTCTGCCTGTCGGATTTGACTTTTCTATGGTTTTTATTCGCCACAATATCCTCCATGTCACTCAATTTGGGGAGCCCCATTAAACTTCTCACTATTCATAATCATGATGCGATACACCAAACATCCTTTGCTTCAGTGCTCTTTCCGATGGAACCAGAAACTGTCCTTCAGTTTCCGTCAATAAATATATTTTTTACGTCAGCATTTGTCCAGCATTGGAAAAAAACCATCAGAAATATGAATTTTTTCGCTCGTTATGATTCCGCAAACAAAGATGAAAGCCAAAATTTTCACATACTCACGATTCTGGACGCAAATCAAGGATTCTAAGATGACAAAAAAACGAAGAAAAATTTCTCTCCCTAATTATGCAGTGCCACACAGTTCAGATATGTATAACGAACTCAGAAAATTGCAAATTTTGCAGAATTTCTCAAAAAAAAGCGAACAAACATAATGTCATGAAAAGCATTTTGAACATCTTACATGACTGCTTTCGTTCGATACATTCCCTTCATCAGACCGTTGCACGGCATCAGCATGAGCTTTCTGAGGAAAAATAAACACTTCTTTGGGCTCGACCGCGACATTCTGCAGCACTTCCAACAACGCCCTCAAAACAGCAACCTAAAAAAACAGCTTCAAAAAAACCACTTGTAATCAATTTTCCAAAACAAAGTTCCGTTACTTATGATGTCGCTTTCCCTTCCCGCTAGCCCAGGGCAGCAAGCAACTTTCCACCCATATTCAACCCACTCGAATCAATCGAGTTTGTGTTGCAAAAGGAAGAAGGTGCTAGTAGCAAGGAATCGAAGATGGTGGCTAAACCTCCTTCGCCTTGCCTATTTACCCTTCGGTTCCTTGTGAAATGCAAATGCCCCGCCTCTTGACTCGAGTTCCCCCTCCGAGATATTTAATTTGGTGATTAGAAATGAACTAGAAACTGTTTTGACTTTCCAAAAAGTTGTGCGGTGGCAGCTTGGAGCTACTACCGTTTCAGTCATAGCTCTCGTCCGGTAGCGGCATGGAGCTGCTGCCGGGTTATTTCGTTGTTTGTTTCTTTTCCTGATTTTTTGCGCTTGTACTAATAAAGAAATTGCTGGTGCGTTTCCCCACAACTGCCCAGGCCCTCCTCCTTGTTACATTGTGAATAGATCGCTAAGTGTTTTGCCCAATTCCGTTACACTTTTTTTGTCGACATATAATGAATTAAGTGATTTTGTGGATCATTTGAAAGCCGTTTAATAGCCGTTTAAAAGCCGTTTAGGCCGTTAAATAGCCGTTTGAAAGCCGTTTAAATCAAACGGATCATTTGAAAGCTGTTCAAATAAAACACGGCAAAAGCAGCGGGAACACTTTGACATAATATGTTTGTATTTTTGCACTCTAAAACAAAAATAGTGATAAAAGATAAAAAAATTCCAACCTCTAAAAAAGAAGCTTTTCTTGTGAGCAAAAATATGTTCTTCAAATCTGTCGGTGTCGGATTTACTGATACCAGGTCCAGGTAGAAGGTTAGAATGGCTTGAAAACAATCCACTGATACCGAACAAGCAACCAGTGTTTCCAACAGGCTCTTTATTACAGGTTTAAACTGAAAATAAAAGAACATAAAATTTGTGGAAAAATTTTGATTTTTATCACAAATCGAAGACCCGAACTCCTTCCGACTGCATAAACCATACTGAACGAGAATGTATGCGACTTAAAGGACCGAAAGACTCCTATTCAGGCTTTTTAATCCGATTTATCTTATTCACCCTCCTTTTATTCCTTTTCAAACCCTACTTTTTACCTAAATACACATCATCTAAAATTAAAATTACAATAGAGCAAGCATTTTCATCCTAGCATTCCTACTCGACTTTCTACACATTCCAACGATGATTGTTTGCCTGCTTCCGTTGTTTACTTGTTTATTTGTTTACCAGTTGATTGCACAGACACTCCTAAGCAGTAAAATTCACAAAATAACTTTACTAACTTCCCCGATGAAACGAAGTTTTTGATCTTTGCCCGAATTCTCTGTAGAAACAATGTGTTGAAGAGTGCGGCCAATTTTTTTCACATAATATTCAGTGGAAGCTGTGATATTGCTGGAGCAGCACTGAAGATGTCTTTGTAGCAGAGTCACTGCCATAGTGCATACCTGGAGGCTGAATTTGTTATCAAATTCCGAAGCTGTACTGCAATCATCTGAAAAATTTGTACAAAAAAATAACAGAATTCGAAAAACTCACGAGCTTTCCTTCTCCCACGTTAGTATTCTAATCCTTCTCGGTAATGTTTCTCACTTCTCAATAATCAATTCGTAACAATTAAAATATTTGTCAAATAAGTACCGTACAAGGTGTCATACTGGATGGGCAAAAAAGGGAAATCCTTGAAGGGTGAGAGGTGAGAAAAGAGCGACCCAGTGTACCAACCGGTCCCAAAGCAAAAAATCTGCGAATCTGAAAAACTGATAAATCGAGTTATACTGGATGGCAGGTCGTCTTAAATGTGAATTGTCGGAACCCACGAGAATTTCCAGAGAGGGGGATAAGTTGTTCACTTTGCTAACAATCGATGGACATTTCCCATTGGCGAGTAATATTTACAATAAGATAAACGATCAGTCAATACCTATCACCTGTCCGAATGGCTAATCGGGCTTTTTTCAAAGGGGTACGCAAAATATCAAAAAAAAAAAAACAGATAAGGCACAGGATTGAAATCGCCAGCAGAGCTACGCCCAGCATGTAAAACCATCCCAAAAACATAATTAAACCAAAACTCTCCCGAAACATCTGTTTAAGCTATCTTGGCATTCTGGTATTTTATAAATTAAAAAAATTCATATTTTTTTAAAAAAAAAAAGAAATCACAAAAGCTACAATCGCAAAGTTTCAATTTTTTAGGTTGAACAACGCAAAAAAATTTCAAATAAAGCTTTGGAAAGGTTTAAAAAAAAAAAAAAAAAAAAAACAGAAAGCTACGTTTTGCAGCTTCGCTGACTTTGGAAAACAAACAACAAAAAACACCATTGATCACATTTACCTTTTTGAAGAGTATTTAGTTTCTGCAAATGTTTCTTTGAAAATGCTGGATGAATGCTCTGGAGCATTGATTGTATGAATGATTCGAGCAATCTCACGCTAGAAAACAGTGGCTCAATGCTAAACAGTTTTAACTGAATCTGCTCCAGCAAATGTTTCTGAAAACCAACTGATTATGTCAGGAATTCATGAATAACAACGTATAGATGATCATCCATCAATGGAATCAACAAATTTGGATTCGAGCAGAATGGAAAAGTTACTAGATGCATTGAAGCTCAGAATCAACAAAATAAAATAGATAGCAACGCGCACCAGACTAGCCGGTGCGATCGTGCGTTTTGTGCAATTCAGCCAATCGGACGACTGCTTATTAATGATTTTCACTGCTATGCACTTTTGTCTATGCAAAAATAGTTCAAACATTGGTAAACAGTTAAAAATTTCACCATCGCATGAAAACTGGATTCGAAAACTTGAAGGGTGAATATTTTACCGTGGTTCCCGAGATATTAATTTACCCGTAAAAAACTTCCACAAGGTCATACGCGTTTCCCGCGGGTTGGAAGCTGAATTTAAATTTGCGGGGTCATACGTGGGTGGGGAACGTTCCCCTAAATTTTCAGCTTC